CCCCTTCTCTCTCCACCCTCCCTTTCCTTCTCTTCCCTTCCTCTTCCTCCTTTCTCATCCCCGATCTTCCCCTTCCTCCTCATTTCTGTTTCTCCCTCTTCCTCCTCTTCCTCTGTCTCCTCCTTTTCCTCTTCTTCCTCCTCGTCCTCCTCCTCCCTTCCTTACCTCCTCCTCTCCCTCTTCTTCTTCCTCCTCCTCTTTCTCCTCTTCTTCCTCTTCCTCCTCCTTTCTCCTCTTCTTCCTCTTCCTTCTCCTGTTCCTTTTCCTCCTCCTCCTCTTCTTCCTTTCCCTCTTTCTCTTCCTCTCCTCTTCCTCCTCCTTTCTTCTTCTTCCTCCTCTTCCTCCTCCTCCTCCTCCTCCTCCTACCCCTCTTCCGAACAGACGAAACTCCTTTTAGACATCCACCCCCTCCATTTTTTTTCTCCATTCTTAATCCTCCATTCATGAAAATGAGTAGATAAATAGATAAATAGATAAATAAAGAAACCAAAAAAAAATGCGTCTCCCTTTCGCGCGCATATTTCACCCTGACAAACGAGCATCGCTTTCCGTCCTTCAATCTTCTCTGTATGAAATTCCAAGATGGGGCCCGCGGATGATTAACGAGCTAGCCCCCCTGGAGTCTCGCGATGCCCCCGTTAGGTCGACACTCCCCTCATTGGCTAATAGGATTTCCGACCATGTGAGACTCGGTGGGATTTTTTTGGCGGGAAAAAAATAAGGGGGGAAGGGAGGGTGGGTGGAAGAGCCTTCGGAGTTGCCAGTTGTTCATTAATTCCGCGGCTTCCTCGGTGTTGCATCCGTAGAGCCATTAATTTTCCAGTTGTTGGGCGATTTTGCTTTGGAAATCACGTGACTTTGCGCGCGTTAATTGGTTGCGGTCGGGGGAGGGGGGGGGGTGAATGGGGGAAGAGGGGGAATGGGGGCAAAAAGGGGGTGGGGGCGGGGTGTGAATGGAGGGAGGGGAAGGGAGGTGAAGGTGGAGGGGGGAATGAGGGGAGAGAGGAGGGTGGGAGGGGGTGAATGAGGGGAGAGGGGAGCGAGGGGAGGGAGAAAGGGGGCGAGAGGGGTGAATGGTGGGGAAAGGAGGGTGGGGGGAGGGGGGTGAGTGGGGGAGAAGGAGGGGGGGAGGGGAATGAGGGGAGAAGAGGGTGGGGGGAAGGAAGGGGAGAAAGGAGGGGGAGGGGGGTGAAATGGGAGAGAAAGGAGGTAGGGGGTTGAGGGTCAATGGGGGAGAGAGGAGGGTGGGGGGAGGGGTGAACGGGGGAGAAAGGAGGGGGGTGGGAGGAATAACCGGAGGGAGGAAGGGTAAAGGGGGTTGTTTTGAAGGGGAGAAGGGGTGGAGGGATAGACTGGGAGGGGAGGGCTTAAGAGGGGGGGGAGGGGGAGATATACCTAAGAGGAGGGGCGTAGGCGCGACAAAGGGGGGTGGGGGAGGGGAAGGGGGAAGAGAGAGGGGGAGATGACAGGAAGGGGAAGGGGGAGAGGGGGGTGGGGGGATGCTCTTGTTTAAATGAAAACCACTGGCGCTATGTATGTGGGGGAGGGGGGGAGGGAGGGGGGTGTTCATTTATGTATTTTGCAATTATTCAATAGTTTATTGTTGGGAGGAGAGTGTGTGTCTTTTGTTTGTTTGTTTGTTTGATGTTGAAGGTGAATTATTTTGTGTTTCGAGGATGGGGGCTTGTGTGGCAAATTGTTCGTGATTATACTGCGACATACATAGGCCTAGTGTAGATTGTAGACAATATATATGTGTAGCATATGTACTGTGTACGTTGTCCTGTCTGTAATGTATGTTATGTATGTATCTTGTTATGTAAGTTATTCCAAATCATTCGTATAATATATATATACATATATACATAGCATACGTGGTGTGTGTGTGTTTTGTGTGTGGCAGTGTATGCCTGTATATAATATATATAATATATATATATATATATATATACTAATATAATAGATATATAATATATATATATATATATATATATATATATATAATATATATATATAAATATATATATAATATATATATATATATATAATATATATATATATATATATATAATATATATATATAAATATAATATTATACCACTATATATATATATATATATCTAATATATAAAATATAATACATATATATATATAATATATATATATATATATATAGTATATAATAATATATATAATCTATATAAATATATAAATAATAAATATATATACAACATCTCGACGCCGTAAGAGAACCGCCTAGGCGGAAATATATCCAATTAGCGAAACCTTACCAAACGTCGCCTATACACTTGACCGAGACAGTCTTGGCCACAATCTGCCACGAACTCCCGAGGCCTCGACGCCGTAAAGAGACAAGAGGTTAGATCCATTAGAGAATACGCCACAGAAAAAACCAGTGTAAGGCCTGCTGCCAATTGGCCTACAATTTCGAGCAGAGGCATGCGACCGGGCTCATTTTGCCATTAAAAACCGGTGATGTCAATGCCTCAAGAGACACTTAACGTGGTGTTGGGAAAAAAGGCCAAGAGAGGAAAAGTTTATCTCGTTAGTTTGTCAGGTAACAGATAACTGCGAAGAGAGGGCGAGTAAGTTCTTTGACTGGTATGTTGAGCAGTGAAATGGTTGTTTCAGTCCCCTCCAATATCCTCCGCCCCTCACAGCCCCCCCCCCTTCCAGTCCCTTCCCTCCAAGCCCCCCCCCTTCCAATCCCTCCCCTCCAGCCCCCCCTTCCAGTCCCTCCCCTCCAGTACCTCCCCTCGAGTCCTTCCCTTCCTTTCCCTCTACAGAGAAGGACTACCACATCCCTCAACAAGTCTAGAGAATGGTTGCCACCAGACTGTCAGGTGACAATCAAGACGACCTGCAATCCTCACGTTATAGAATCCCAGTCAGCAGTTCAGCAGTTCAGCGGCAGGTGCCAATACCCACATGCCTCTTTGCCTTTTGACTTGGATGCCCTGGGTGAGACTCCTCAATGATGGTGGGTGAGGCACAGAGGACCACGACTCTGCTGAGACCTACAGGCACCTTTTGGGAGGGCTTAGTTAATTGTTTTCTAAGGGCTCAACAGGTAGGGAGAAGAACAGTTAACAGGAAATGCATTTTCCGAGACCTTCAATATATGTTGACGTCTTGCGCCAATATAGACCATGTATTTTCCATTCACTGTCTAGCTATGCCTTCAGATAACACTTCCACCGAACGGAAATGACTTCCAAGATTTTTCTGAACTCTATGAAACTATTTTAAGAAGAGTAAGGAGTAAGGATACGAAACTAATACATATCTGGAATTCATTTATTTATTACAATGACACTGGTTTCCCTTACATAGAACCAAAACAATACCAGATAGCTGAACAAAACAGAACCACAATGAACATACTTGATTGTATAAGATTCTATTTTGATAACAATCTCCATTTTATCTAATTCTGCCTTTGGATTGGCACTTAATTTACCTAGTCATTCACTTGCCACTTGTAACTTGTTCATAATAATCTCTTTATAATCTCGTGTTTGAGATTCCTTTGACTAAATAAATCGACTTAAAAAATGAAAAGCAAGGAAGAGAGGGATAAGATTAATTGAATATGATAGAGAAGATAAATAAAGTAGTATGATATATGTCGGTTATAATAGTGGAAGCAGTTGTATTTTGGAGTTAGATTGTAAGTTACTTCATAAGAGCCATAATTCTAAATACTTATTTTCTACTTTTTTCTTCTTTTATGTGTTCAAGATTATATATGTATCTTTCTTTGCGTCTTTCCCTTTAAAGTACATATTATTTTTTCTTTTTTTTTCATTTCTTTATTTTTTTTTTCCGTACATTTTTTATTTCTTCATTCTTTTTTCTTTATCATTCTTTATCACTCATTTCTTATTCTTCTCCTTATTATGATTCTTGTTATTCCTTATCTATTCCTATTCTTCATACATCTTATTTATTCTTCATTACTCTTCTTTATGCTGTATACTCATTCATTCTCCTATATTTTTACTCTCATACTATCCTCTCTCTCTCTCTCTCTCTCTTCTCTCTCTCTCTCTCTCTCTCTCTCTCTCTCTCTCTCTCTCTCTCTCTCTCTCTCTCTCTCTCTCTCTCTCTCTCTCTCTCTCTCTCTCTCTCTCTCTCTCTCTCTCTCTCTCTTTCCTCTCTCTCTCTCTTTCTCTCTCTCTCTCTCTCTCTCTCTCTCTCTCTCTCTCTCTCTCTCTCTCTCTCTCTCTCTCTCTCTCTCTCTCTCTCTCTCTCTCTCTCTCTCTCTCTCTCTCTCTCTCTCTCTCTCTTCTCTCTCTCTCTCTCTCTCTCTCTCTCTCTCTTCTCTCTCTCTCTCTCTCCTCTCTCTCTCTCTCTCTCTCTCTCTCTCTCTCTCTCTCTCTCTCTCTCTCTCACTCTCTCTCTCTCTCTCTCTCTCTCTCTCTCTCTCTCTCTCTCTCTCCTCTCTCTCTCTCTCTCTCTCTCTCCTCTCTCTCTCTCTCTCTCTCTCTCTCTCTCTCTCTCCTCTTTCTTGATAGTCTGTCTTTCTTCACTTTCATCTATTTCCTTTTACATCTATTCCTTATTCATGCTCCTTTATCCTTCATTTCTTCATTTCTTCTCTTTCTTAATTCCTTTCCTTGGTTCCTCTTTTGCCTCCTGTTTCTTATTTATCGTCTTCCTCATACCTCTATTTTTATTTCTGCATTTTTTTCTTTCTCCTTTATTCCTCTATGTTTTGTTTCCTTCTGTGTTTATTTCTCTCCTTTATTTCTTACATTTCTCCCATTTCCTTTATTTCTTGGATTATTGCCGTTTCTCCGTAACATATCTTTACTTTTCTTTAAGCATTTTTTCTTAATTTTTTAGTTTTGGCCTCCTTTTCTTACAGTTCTCTATTTTTCTTCTTTATTCTTATTCTTCTATTCATCAATGTCTCTCTTCTTTACCTTCCTACATTTTTTTCTTTTCTTTATGTCCTACATTTATCTCTCTTTTTCACTTCCTACATTTCTTTATTTCTCCTTTTATATTCTTTCTTGGCATTTCTCTCCTTTATAGTACTTTCTATAGACGAAAGACCCCGAGCGCGATCTCACCGCCAGCACAAAGGATTCGATCCCACACTCATTGAATCCTATCTTAATCTGATTCCTTTATTCATCACATCTCCCTTTCTTACTTTCTAACATTGATACCTTTCTTAAAATCACATTTCTCTATGTCTTCTTCTCTCTTACTCTCTCTTCTTTCTCTCTTTCTTGGCATTTCTCTCCTTTTTCAGTACCTTCCATAGACGAAATTCCCCAAGCGCGCTCTCACCGCCAGCACAAAGGATTCGATCCCACACTCATGGTGGATCCTATCTTAATCTCCTTTATTTTTATCACATCTCCCTTTCTTTACTTCCCATTGAAGTTCCTTTCTTAAATTCATTCTCTATTTGGCTCCTTTTTCTTCTTTCTCTTGGTTCTTGGTTCTCTTCTTTCTTTTCTTTTCTTTTTCCTTTTTCAGTACCTTCCATAGACGAAATTTCCCCAAGCGCGGCTCTCCCGCCAGCAGCAAAAGGATTCGATCCCACACTCATTGGATCCACGACGAATCTTGAAGTAGCCTCGCTCGCCCCAGCTGCTGCCCCAGGAATTCTCCGCCAGCTGAGAGGACGGAGGGGAGAAAAGGGGGGAATTAAATTGAGGTTTTTAGGACTATTTAAGGGGATGGGAGGAAAAGGGGGGACTTAAATTAAGGTTTTTGGGGAGTATTTAAGGGATGGGAGAAATTAAGGTGTTTAGGACTATTTAAGGGAGGTTTAATTGAGGTTTTTAGACTATTTTAAAGGAATGGAGAAAAGGCGAGACTTAAATTGAGGTTTTTAGGACTATTTAAGGAATGCAGGAAAAGGGGAGACAAGGTATTTAGGATTATTTAAGGGATGGCAGGAAAAGGGTGTTTAGGACTATTTAAGGGAATGGGAGAAAAGGGGGGACTTAAATTGAGGTTTTTAGGACTATTTAAGGGAATGGGAGGAAAAGGGGGGACTTAAATTGAGGTTTTTAGGACTATTTAAGGGGATGGGAGGAAAGGGGCGGACTTAAAATGAGTTTTTAGGATTATTTAAGGGAATGGGAGGAAAGGGGAGACAGATTAAGGTGTTTAGGACTATTTAAGGGATGGGAGAAGGAGTAGGTAGACTTAAATTAAGGTGTTTGGGATTATTTAATGATGACAGGAAAAGGGCTAGACTTAAGGTGTTTAGGACTATTTAAGGGATGGGATGAAAAGGGTTGACTTAAATTAAGGTGCTTTAGGACTATTTAAGGATAGGAGAGAAGGGGGGACTTGGTACGGGGAGAAATAGGGACTTAAATCAAGGAGTATAGGATATTTTAGTGATTGAGGGGGGGGAGGGGAAACTTGAATAAAGATGTTAAGGTTTTTTTTTGTATCTTGAATATTTTTGTGTCTTTCCTAAATATTTTTGTATTTCCCAAATATTTCTGTGTATCTCCTATTTCTCTGAATTTCCTGAATGCTTCTCTGTATTTCCAGAGTAATTCTGTGTATTTCTTGAATATTTGTGGGCATTTCCGGAACATTTCTGTGTATTTCCTATATTCTCCGTATTTCCCGAGTCATTACCAAATATTCGTATGTATTTCCAGACCGAATATTTGTATGTATTTCCAGACCGAATATTTGTATGTATTTCCAGACAGAATTTAAAAAAAAAAAACAGAGATTTCAAGACACGCCCACCCCACTCACCCAATACTTGACGATTCCCACGCCCATGACCCTCGCCTCGCCCCACCCAATGAGCTTGACGGAGTGGGTGGCCGAGCCTTTTCCCCCGAGGCCTGTGTGGGTGTACACGCCCGTCTGGTACAGGAAGAAGTCGGGGTGTACCGTCATCAGGGCTGTGGGGGAAGGAGTGAGGGAGGAAAATCCATGTTATTGTTATTGTTGTTGTTTTTTGTTATTGTATTTATTAATGTTTTTGTTTTATATCATTACGGTTATCTTATATTATTGTTATTGTTATTGTTATTGTTATTATCGTTAACTTGTCTGCATAATTCTCCTTTCCTTTCGGAAAATTTCATAGAGAGAAGGGAACTGAATGCATAATATATATACTATATATATATATATATATATATATATATATATATTATATATATTATATATATGTGTGGTGTGTGTGTGGTGTGTTGTGTGTGTGTGTGTGTTTAATCTATACATAGGCATATACATTTAGTATTTTGCAAATTAGCGGGACATATTATAGCTTGCGTTCGGTGCAATGACCCTCCCTTGCAATTATGTGAGTATGGCCTTGTGTGCAATGACCCTACCTTAATACCACATTGCAGTTTGACCCTACCTTCTGCACCCAATGACCTTACCTTGCACAGGCCCGTTGTTCAGGGATCTCCCACTGGATGTCCTCTTCCTTCTCGGATATACGAAGGCGGGCTCGGTCTTGTAGTGGTTCTTCGG